GCCCCGCCACGGCGTGTGCAGCGAGCGCAGCCCCGCCGTGTTTGTGCAGCTACGCAGCTCGCCCGCGGCCCGCCCACCCAGGCGCGGCCCCGGCTGGAAAGCCCTCCCGAGCCTCTCTCTCCACGCCCGCTCCCGGCGGCTGCGGGAGGGGGGGGGGAGATCGCGGCTGCTGCTCCTGCGCGCGACAGAGAAACGTGGGGACCCGCGGGGACCCGCTGGCGTGCCGGGCCGGGGAGGCGCGACGAGAGGCTCGCGAGCTGCGAGAACTTGGGAGCCGGCGCCCCTGATCGTTGCAGCGTGCTGGGCGCCGTGTCGGCGCGGGGGGACTTTGCGGGGACAGATCTGCGGGAGGGTGGTCGTGTGGTCGTGGTGCTGTGGGGGCAGGGAACCGGGGCCGGTGCTGGAGAGGCCTAGGCTGGAGCTCTGAGCGCGCGCGGGGGGCCCCCCGGACGACGAGGAGCGTGGAGCAGCCTCACCCCGCGCGCCGGGCGCTGCTTGGTGCACCTCAGACCTGTCATCTGTCTCGCCCGCCCCCGCACGCCCGCGTCCCCGGCCGGGTGCTGTGTTCCAGGGTGCTTGTCGTGAGCTTTGGAGCCCGGGTTCGTCTGGGCCCTGCATATGGCGGGCTCGTTGGAGTTAATCATTCCCCGCCTCGCACACGCTCACAATGAGGGGCGTGTGGACCTCTGCTGCGAGCCCCCCACCCCACCCAGGCCTTAAAGTAAAGACTTGGGGAAGCTGAGGAACTTGGAGTACCTGGGGCTTTCAAGCCTCAGACCCAAAGCAGACCTGGAGGAGGCGTCTGCCACCCAAATGGGAGGCCACTGAGTGTTCCAAAGCCATCTTTGGCCCGAGCTGCTGGAAGGATGAAAGGGGAAGTTTCTTGCCTCGTTTTAAACTTTTGTTGGCTACAACTTCGGCGGCTACTTCCTGCTTCCACCATGCCACTTCGGACCTGTTTGCCCAGGGGAGGCAGGAGAGGGGAGCAGTGGCCGGTCTTTGAGGCCACCGTGGCACGTGAGTGTAAGGGATCCTGGTGGCCGCTGTGGCTGGGGAGGGGGAAAGCGGCTTCATCCGGCACTGGGAGCCTGGTCTGAATGGAGGCCTGGGTTGTCCTGACCCCGAAGTTTTAGGACTAAGGTGGTTTGGCGAAGATGGAATTGTATCTCTGACCTCTGCCTCCAACCTGGGTGCCTCGGCTGAGGGGGTGAAACCGTCAGTCTGAGCCCAGAGCCCCCCAGGGAAAGTAAGGATATATGCACCTTTAGCATCAGAGAAATGCTGTCTTGCGGCATGGTCAGATGAATCCAGAACCAAAAGGGACTGGGCATTTCAGTTGAGAACTTATGGGGCCTCTTTTCCTGCTGCTCTGCAGGGTGTAAACATTCAATTACGGTGATAAACTATCTCATTGCACAGCCCTGGCCCAGTCTCCATTCTAATTGGATTGGCCTCTGGGCTGGTTCCTCTGGTCTGTAGCTCCCAGGGGTCAAGGGGTGAAAGAGCCTGGAGAATGTCCCCAGGTTTACAGCT